AAATTCCTCCGACAGGCGAGGTGATCGTGCCTGGCGGTTGCCTTCAAAACGGTTGATGTTGGAAAGTTGTATGCTAATCGCCGAAAGAATTCCTCGTATCGCGATACACGATTAGCAATTCTCATTCAGGAGTTACTCCGTAGTTCGGTGTGTTTTTTCTCCATGTTTCTTTGTATGTTGGAGTCACCACAATAGATTTCAAATATTTTTTTACCATTAGAAAGTTACTTTATCCAAAAGTAACACAAGTACTATAAGAATAGCACACAGTCAACGGCAAGGAGGAGTCCTAGTACTGCGAAGTAATGCTAACAACAAGTCAGGCGCAGTACGTATAAGAAAGGGTAGATTTTAGAAGGTAAACAATCTTGGTCTAAAACAATTTGGCAGGTGTCATTTTGAAGAAATCCTCCTCTCACCCAAACAAAACAAAACTATAAAATATAGCCAATTATTAATGAATTCCATAAATAAATAGTATTACTAAAATAAAAAAAAAATCATTTCAGTTTTACGCTTTTAGCTCTCACGCTCTTTATTCAATTTTCATCTGTCTACGTATAAACGTAAATCGGATCTTATCGTGTGTAAATTTGCAAGAAGTTGTAGTTAGTTGTAAGTGATAAATTATTCATCTGTTAGAGATGATGAGACTCTAATTTCCTAGTAATAAAAAACTCATCACAAATCACGTGGCCTTTATTACTGATATTAGCAATTTTGACCGCAGAAGCAATTTTCCTGCTTTACAAATTTTCCTTTATCCACAGTAATTTCACCGCCGGAACGGGGCGTGTCATTGCACAAGGATGCAACGACAAAAGGGCAAGCTGTCACGGGAAAAATTATGACGTAGTCACAATGAGTCAACGAACTCAGATAAGTTCTCTGATTTTCTTTCTTTTGATGTGTCCCTTATCTCGCCGCCTGCGTCGCCAATATGGCAATTAAAAAGCAATTAGTTTTTCTGAACAATTGACTGTGCGTAGCACATAGTCATAATTATGTTCTTAGAAAAACTAATTGCTTTTTAATTGCCATATGGGCGACGCAGGCGCGAGATAAGGGAACATCAAAAGAAAGAAAATCAGAGAACTTATCTAAAGATTTACAGCGAACTGCCGACCGGTTGTTGCGACATTTTAACATTAGTAAATGATATTTTAGATAAGAAATGGGTATAAAATGCGTACACGCTGAGGCATGTATCATTATTAGTAAAGCTTTCAAGCTGGACGCGTTTACTAGTGAAGTTTTTAATACTCTCGTGAAAACTAAAGATGGAAAACTGCAAACAATCAAATCGCTCCGAGGACGACACCGAATTACAATACAATCAGGACAGCAGTCAAGAATGCATAATTACTACGGAACCTGCCGAAAGCGAGGAAGAGACGGACAACCGTACGAACGACGTGGCACATCATGGCGAATACTCAACAGACGTTCGATCTGCCAAAGATATCGTCGAAGAGGAGCAACAACAAATCAAAAGGAAAAGGTATGGGCAAGAAGAGTGCGAATCATCAGAGGAAAGCGGTGGAGACACTGAGCTTCATGATATGGTTGAAAAGATTTTTGGGACAACGAGCACACCATAAAACTGATGGGCAAATTTCTGACGAAACTCCGCGACTATTGTTATCGGAACAACGAACACAAAATGCTGAAAATAGTACGACCCATGAAGGAAGTATTCAAGATATTCATAATCGATATGGAGAAGCAAAAGCAATCCTTAAAAAGCATTTCCTGGGATGTTTTCGAACAATGGGCCTTAAATGCAGGATTATCCACGATGTATACGAACTTCCATCAGATGGTTTGGGAGACAGATTTCGAAGAGACGTTATTCAGAATATTCGGGGAAATCTACAGCCAGGATGCCGAAGAGCAGTCGGAAATCAGCGAGGACGAGGAATGCTCATTATTGCCGAACACCAAGACCACATCCACGTTATCCACGACTGTACGTACGGAGGAGGATCCTGCCGATGCAGATATATGCGATATCTCAGTGAATACACGACCGAGGACCAAGAAAACAGTGAAATTCAGCTCACTCCCTGGTCACAGATCGAGCGAAGTGTCGACCTCGAAGTTGAAAATGAACTCGAAAAAAATACAATATGGACTCGGAGAAGCGGCGTCCTGCCAAACGTCGCATGTCATCGGACACGGAAGAGGAGGAGACTCTGCTAACCGTAAAGAAACCACTGAAAGACATTCTCAGCAATCCACCTCCGGCGGAAGGGAACACGGACAGCGATGCTTCAGACAACTTAGAAGGTTTGCTCGACGGAGTTGTCCAACAGCAATCATTACGCTTGACCACTGGTGCAATCTCACAGAATATCTCAGTAAAGCACCTCGATCAATTAGTTATTTTGAAGTCGCGGGGAGAACGTGGGTTGAAAGTGGTGAAGTTAGAGATATACCCTTACAGCGATTGTATCAGGAAACCAAAGACGGAATGGTGGAAGAGTGCGGAGTTTCCGCGGAACCTTCCTGTCCTATGGAGCCGAATCGCGTGTGCAGAAACTGACCAATCAGCTGAAAACGGAGGCCTACAAACAAGTGGCCAAAAAAACCTATACGGTTTTATTGAGAAATCATTTTCTCAAGCGTGGCGTAAGAAGAGTCGTGCAGAGAAACAAAACCCATTTGACATAATTGACATCGTTAGTTATCGTTTACTTGATAAACTTAACGAGGTCGAGTCACGTAGGTTAAGTGATAAACTAACAATGGCCAGAGCGTTATCGCATTTACAAGAGCGAGTATACAGAGGGACTTTTTTATGGGACTAATCCCACCCACACGCCCACCACTGTAACTCCTGTACACCAGGATCCACAGCAGTGACCCACGAACACACCGAGTTATGACACTCGGGAAGTCCCAGGAAGAAATTAAACTGTCTTGGAACCCGCAACGAAATTAATCAGAAGAAAATTGGAGGAGTTGGAAATACAGAGGGACTGTCTGATATAAGCAATAGCTCCAGTAGGTCAGGGTCGTATATCTGTAACTGGAATTGCCTATATCTGTGTTTTTTAAAGACAACTCCCGACAGACAACACTAGGAATAACTCAAGCGTCGCGGGGGACTTTGCAGACTCAGACAATAATTTTGTGGATCACACAAAGTGTTGTCCCATGTCCCCACATGGGACAACCCACAATACTCAGCCTAGTATGGCGTGGTGACCGCCATCCGTGCAGTCGAATGTATCATATCTTGATTAATCTTTTATTATTTTACAGTTCTTTTGTTATTTTTTTTTCTTAAAGTTCATTTTATTCAGGTTAGAATTTGTTTTATTTATATTATGTTTGTGTTTTAGTAGTAATACAGAAAGGACTATTCTTTTATTAGGTGAACCTATAAAGATAGTGGAAGAATGTTTACGTAAATCAACAATATATAAAAATGTTAAGTTGGTTTGTATACGCTTCAAAATCTCAAAAGGTTCTGCACCGATTGAGCTAAAAAATTGACACGATATACAGGCCGTTCCAAAGGCTGCTTTTATTTATTTTTCGAAACAGTTTTGTTCCTTATTTCTCAGCAAAGTGACCGAAATGTTCCACAACAAAGCATGGCAGGGTACAGATAGTAAATAATTAATAATGAGATCTATTTTTATATTCTTATCTAAACCTCTATCACACCACATCATCACATCAACAGCCTTTAATAGTCCAGTGCTGGTATAGGCCTCTCCTTAAAAAGGAGGTTTTGGCCTACTATACCACGCTGCCCAGGCAGGTTGGTATAGGGGTTTTCCTTCTCTCCGCAGTGCTGTGGTCCTCCGTAGTTGGCTCCCTTAGTCGACTCTTACGACACCCACGGGATGAATAGGGGTGGTGACACTCTGTTTTCTTAATCCGTCACCACACGGACAATAAACTATTATAAATTTCAATTAACCTTAAGTATTTGTCTATTATGTAACCAAATATCGGGGTATTTAATTTTGTTCACGTCACACGTTACAAGCTGTGATTAGGTAGGTAAGTCTACATCGTTCCTATTAAAGGTCAAATAAGGGATTGTTTTGATTGTACCTACTATCTTGTTATAGTTAATTTCAAGTTTAGATTGACGAAGATTGCTATTTACATACCTTATTGATTACTATGTAGCGATTCAATATTCATATATAAGAGATATGGATTTTTTTTAAACTAAATTAAATTATTTGGGTCGCTTTTTTATTCTTTTGGCTTAATTTGGGTATAGATTTGACGGGTCCGTTAATTTAGTAGTAATCTTGACTGCTAAACCAGAGCCAGCTAAGTCAGGCAAGGTTCGATTCCCACCCATGGCAAATAATTCTGAGATTAGTACGATCATTCATCCTGTGTTTGAGTGTAATTTATCTATAATATGTATGGATTTAGAAATATATAAGTATATTTATCAGCAGTCCAGTTATCACAGTATAGGTTCAGCCTAGATTGAAATCGTCGTGTGTGTTATGTGTTAAGTTATCATTATCATTAAAATATTGTGTAATTTTTTGTGTTTTGTTTTGTTACGCCTATTACATACATAAAAGCCCGTTTTTTCTCTGGTGCATAGATCATTGCAGATATAATTGCTTATTTATTTGTATAGATAAAAATATTTTACCACATTCATACAATTAAATTCAGCTTGTACTATGGGCATTAGAAAACTTGTATACATATACACATTTGACAGATTTTCGAATAATTTGACATATAGTGTGACAAGTCAATTGCTTTGTTTCATAATGATCAAAATAGTTTTCGTAAAAGGTTTAACCTAAAAAAACTAAATATTTTAACAAGCGAAAATGTATAAGAATGTTTAAAAGACACAATATAATCGCAGATATTTTATTTTAATAGTCCGTTGGCTCACGTCTCGACCTAAAAAATAATTGCTAAAGATATATAGAAATTTCAGTAACTGACAAATTATGATAAAAAAAGAAAAAAGGTTTTGATTTATAATGTGTTATAAATTTTGAATTGACGTGCTAGTTAAAGCACACGTATAGTGTGTCCTATAAAATGATGAAATTTGAGTAGGATAGGATTATGTGAAACTAACGCGGTGGTATTACTCCGTTTATATTAACGGTTCGATGCACCATATAATGAGCAACTCGTGTGTCATACTAATTAGATGATGTATTCGACTGTTAACCGCCAATCGAGTTATCGTTTCGATATCGATAACATTGTGGTGAACGATATACCTAAGTTGTTTGCTAAAACACTTCGATAACGGATGAAAATGTGTACAAATGTATACAAATACTTAGTAAGGATTATGTAGATAAGTAGATCAAAATACACCTGTGTATTCATGAAAATTCAATGGGTTTAATATTGAGAACATCATCGTAAATATGATCATCACCACTTTCCTTCTCTAGACTGCTGTCTACCTGATTTCAACTTCTTGAGAATGTAACCATATTATTAAAAAAAGAATGTTCTACTAAATAAATAGACGAGACAAAAAAAGAAAGTAGGTTCAAAGAGATCTTGATCGCATACCCGAATAAGTTATAAATAACGAATAAATTGAAATATTTACATTTGTTTATATGTTGGATAATCGATAATCGATGTTATCCTCCCATTGTTGTGAAATGACTAAGTGAGACACAAGTTATATATGAATAAGACACAAAAAATTTTTTACATTGAACAGTTCAACTAATAACTTTATTCGCAGCTACGTGGTACCAGCATCTGTGTTTAAATTTCGTTGTATTATAATTAGTGTCAATGATAATTACGTGTATAGAAGCGTTTAACTATGAAATGGATATGATTGACGCCTACTCAACTGAAACTTAAAGCTTTACTTGGCGTCTATAAAATAATTTAATACAATTTGATGTTTCTAGCAATAGCGGGACGATGGACGAATTTTCAATTAATGATGTAAAATTGAAGAATTAACTAGATACACTTTAAATTCTGTCAATTTGTAACAAGTATTTTTATTAAATTTATTTTCTTTTAATACGTGTTTTAAGTTTACAATAAAGCAAATACTTCTACAAAAACGCGCAGGGATCCAGTATATAAATGTTCAACTCTCTTAGTCCAGCAAGGGCACCTTAAGTTATGATTGTCACTAATTTTGCTGCCCACTAACAAAACATTTAAAACTTAATTAATTTTGAATAAAATTTAACCACAAGATGAACAGTAGTATTTAGATTTCCTAGGAAGACTGCAATTAAATTTTATCAATATTGAATAAATGATAAGTTTCAGCAAATGATAAATTTCTAATGGGTTGAATCTGGATTGTTGTTTTGCGACTTGTAGCGAGTTTATTTATTTATTTATTTATTTATTTATACTTCCTGCAAATACATTGCATAAGGCGGACTTAATGCCATAGGCATTTTCTTCCAGTCAACCTTGGGGTGATGCAGAGATTTGTGTATGGCAGGTATATAATGAGGTAAATTATTTAAATTGTAGTCGGTTGCAAGATGGATACATATATAAATGCAAATATCATTTATACGTACTATATAATACTATAAATATAAAGAAAAAAAAAAAAACATAAACATACACACATACATTCATACATACATGCCTGCGTTGATGAACACACAAGGGGTTATTTGGATGACTCCGTCAACAAGTCTCCATAAAGCTTGCGTACTCTGGTCTTAAAGATTGTTCGGTTGGTGGATGTCCTGATCTCTAGGGGAAGGGCGTTCCAAAGATTTACCGCTTGGACAGTGAAGGAAGAATGTATGATACGGGAGCTATGTGAAGGACAAAGAAGGAGGAAATTATCAGCGGAGCGAAGGCTTCTGTCATGGTTGGAGGAGAGATATTGCAGGTGGGATGTTAAGTAAGTAGGTGAGGTAGGTGTGTGGAGAAGGGAGTGCAACATAGTCAGCGCCCGCAAACTGCGGCGATGTCTTATAGGTAGCCATGACAATTGACTGCGATAAGCGGATACATGATCGTACTTTCGAAGGTTGAATATGAACCGAATGCAGTTGTTGAGAAGTCGGTCTAATTTATTGAGGCAGATCTGCATTCCAGGTCGAGGTAACACACATCACCATAGTCGATGATTGGGAAAATTAAGGTCTGCACCAGCATCGTTTTTGTTTTCACTGGGAGTAAATTTTTCAGGCGGTAAAGTCCCCTCAAGATATTCGTTACCTTCTGACTGACGCTAGTTACCTGCGTTTGCCAATTTAGGGTTGGGTCTATGTGCAGACCGAGATCCTTGACTGATTGGCTAATGGGCAACACAGTTCCATCAAAAATAATATCTGCGATAGCGTCAGTATCAATTCTACCCGTCATTCTAGGACTCCCTATAAAGATTGCCTGACATTTGGCTGGGTTCACGGTTAAACCAAATCTGCTGGACCAGTTTTTTATGGTGTCTAGGTCGCGGTTAATTTTGTTTTATCGCTTCGTCTATATTTTCTACTCTCGCATGTGAGTAGATCTGTAAGTCGTCTGCATACAGGTGATACGAACACTGAAGTTCATAAGTTATGAAGTCGATGAATAGTGAAAAGAGAAGTGGAGAAAGAATGCCGCCTTGTGGAACACCAGAGTCAAGGTCGGCCCATAGCGATGTGGATTCATCAGTTCGGACAGACTGCTGGCGTCCTCGAAGGTAGGACGAGAACCATTCCAGTGCATCATCGGAAATCATGAAATGGGAAAGGATTGTAAGTAGTATATCGTGATTCACGGTGTTGAAGGCATTTGAGAAATCAATTAATGCGAGTACAGTTATCTGGCCATCTTCCATCGCAGCCTTTATGTCAAGTGTCACCTTGAGCAGTGCTGTACCTGTACTATGTCCTGGTCGGAATCCTGACTGATACTGGTTAAGCAAGTTGTTCTGGTAAATAAAGTGAGATAGTTGCTTATGTACACAGGCTTCAAGGACTTTGGAGAGGAAAGGGAGGATGGATATTGGACGAAAATGAGTAGGAAGGGAGGGGTTAGGTACCTTAGCCAATGGACGTACATAAGCCTTGCGCCATAAGGAGGGGAAAACATTGGAATCTAAGGAATAGTTGATAATATGAGTGATAGCTGGTAAAAGCTGTTCTAGGATAGTGGTTACCATGAAATGGCTAATTTTATCGCAACCAGTAGCTTTGGATTTGATAGAGGTAACAAATCATTTGACCTCCTCTGATGCAACCGGAGAAAAATCAAAGGGGTTTATATTAGGCCTAGGCAGACGGGCTACGAAATCGATGGTTTGAACTTTGCTTTGATGATCCAATATAGAGGGAGTGGTGAAATGGCAATTGATATCATCTAAAGCAATATTCGTTGGAAAATCTGCATGGCGCTCACTGCCAATACCAAGAGTCCTTAAGAACTTCCAGATATTAGCAGAAGAGGATGAAGAAATGTTATCGAGAATATGACGGCGTTTGGCGTTACGTATCACCTGATTACATCTGTTTCTCACAGTTTTGTAGGCAAGCCAGTTGTCATCACTTCGAGTTCTTTTAAATCGCCGAAAAGCCCGATCCCTGCACCGCATTACACTGCGGATGTTATCTGTCAACCAAGGTGCGGGAGGATGCTTTAATTTGACATTCCTCAATGGCGCATGAACGTTGTATAGGTGCAGGATGTTTTCGTTCAATATTTGAACCTTTTCGTCGACAGATGTTGCTGCTGCTAACGATTCCCAATGGATATGAGAAGCATCCTCCCGAAGTCTCTCAGGACTCATAGATCCAAAACAACGTCTAAGCATCATTTTGGGTTTAGGTTTCGGCGTTTTAATTTTGTATGAAACAAAGATCAGGTCATGATGTGAGAAACCAGGTGCTGGGTATTGTCCATGCGATGAAACCTTATCAGGAGACGAAGTAATATGATATCCAGCAGGGTGTCTTCTCCATATTGGTTGTGGTGAGTGGCTTGAAGCGGTAGGACATGTAGACACGTAGATTCCAGAATATGCGACAGCTTACGACAACGAGGGGAGGTGGCAGACAGGAGATCGGTGTTAAAGTCGCCCATGATGATGTGATGCTCATACTCAGACCCTAAAGATTCTAAAACCGATTCGAATTCGGTGAAGTAATCAGTGCTGGAGGACAATAAACGACACCTAAGATGAGTTTAGCTCCCCTGACACAAACCTCCAGGAAAAGATACTCAGCAGTCGAGTTGGTGATGAATTGGAGAGAATATTGTACGAAAAATCGGAACGTAGGTATATTGCAACACCACCGCCCCTTTTGTTTGCCCTGTCGTTCCTTATAAGAACGAAGCCTGGGAGAGGATAAAAGGTTGAAAAGTAGTTGGGGTTTGAGCCAAGTCTCGGAAATCAGGATAGCATCCACGTTTGAGCCGTTAAAAAGTTTCCCATAAGTCACTATAGTGACTGGGTATGCTTTGAGCATTTATGTGACAAACGTTAAACATTCGATGACATTTTTGTATAAAAGTGCTACGTACTATGTCACCGAGGGTGTCAGTTACCGAAGTAAAACTCTCATTTGCTGATGAATTAATGGAGTCGTTGGCGGAGCAGTAGGAGTCAACATCAGACATATGCAGTAAATAAAATATTAAAATAATAAAAATAAAAGTTATTGATCAATTACAAATTTAAGGGTAATGAGTTAATTTAATACTCACATCAGTGCACCACCCGCCGGCTTACACTAGCACTTATTGAGGAGTGATGACAAGAACATTATTAGGTACATGACATTAATATATGAGAAATATAATTAAAAGGGATATAAAAAAGATGCAAAACTCAGTAAGTAAAGTAGGCCAGTTTAGTAAAGAGTAATTGCAGAGCGGTCGGTGACATAAACGAGAATATGCGTGAACACGGAACGCATCGATTACAGAGCTCTGCTCATAAACGTCAACTGTCAGTTGTCATGTTGATTGCCTAGTTAAATGATTCTAAAGTATAAATAATAATTCAAAATGAAAACAATGTAATAACCTTAAGAAAACTGACCACAGGAAAATTTAACACTATGGGGACCTGGAAGTTAGTTTCTACGTGTTGTGTTCTTAGTGATGTTAGCCGTGTAACTGGCACCTGATGAACTGCTGCCCTTAGCCATATGGGCCTCGTCGGCTGCTTTAGGATGTTTCTGCATCAAAGGTTCCAGTTCAGCCAGAGATGTGATCTTGACCCTGCTTCCGCCCCGGTAGTTTGACGACAATGACGCCTTCCTGTGTCCAACAACCTTTGACGCCAAAAATGAAGACGGGCTCTAGCGAATGCAGACTGTCTGGCCTTAGTTAGGTATTCCTTAACAGTGATATTTGTACCCTTGAGCCTAGTCTTCACTTTCCAGACAGCAGACTTAAGGTCTAAAGTGGAAAATCTCACCAGTAAAGGCCTCTTGTGATCCTTCTTGGGGCTTCCAAGCCTATGGCAACTTTTGATGGATGATGATGTCAACTGTAGATCCAGCCTGCTACCAAGAAGACCCAGGACCGATTCAGTGCAGTTTTCATTGTCTACTTCGGGAACTCCAATGAAAATGAGTGCTTTCCGTCTATGTCGGGTTTCCATTATGTCGACAGTCTTAGAGCACTCATCTATCTGTTTCCTTATCAAGCCTAGCATGCTGAACATGAGCTCTCGGAAGGTTCTAAATTCCTCGGCAAGCTTTCCAACGGTGTCCTTTGGCTGGTGCGCTACACTGTATCTGTGCCTCGAGCTCACCCATAACGTTTGGTGAAGATCTCCTCCAGACTCTTCTGTGCAGATTCAATGACAGCTAGTTGAGACATTCTTGGTTAGGTGTTCTTGTTTGTTAATAAGGCAAGTGTAGTAATGGTGTTAGTGAACAGCTGACAGGTGGATGTGATTAAAAACTTGTTATCACATCTATATCTTTGCTAACGTGAGTACAGGCAAATTACTGTGGGTTACACTGATTTTAAATATATAAGTTGCAAATGAGTTGTTAATTTAATAAATTTAAACTTTTATAGCATAGCACAAGTGTTGGAGTTTTTACACCTACCCGAATTTAAAAAAATGGTTGTATTTCTATGATAAGAAAGTTTGAAGAGGGCAAAGAAAGGGATAAGAACTTGTGCAAAACTAGTGACCGGTAATAAACTTGAATAGTTTTAGAAACTTCTAAGCAGTTTTAGCAGTAATTATGTTTGGGAAACTTCTGTGTTCTCTTTGATAATATTTTACTACAGCCTTCTTTTTCCTTCCTTAAAAGCGATGTTTTTAGTATTTTGTTTATATTTCTGTAAATATTCTATCAATTCATTATAAATTTTAACATGTGTATTCATACATTTGTCTTGCATCAAAATGTCACGGTCCGTGAGTCACATTACGAGTACACACATTGCGGTAGCGTAAAGTTCAAAAGCATTCAACTACTGGTCTACGTCACTTTTTCTATTAATGTAAAACATTCAACAATTGATACAATAATGTTACCATAATTTGGTATTAATCTTTATCATCGTCATATTTTTGACCTTTTTTATTATTTTATTTGGGGTCGTCGCAATGTGTAATTTTGCAATGGATTTTGTTTGGTTTCTCCTTCAGAATGAAATCGTGTATATACTACAAAAATAAATAAGGTGAATTCAAGTTTCAAGACGTTCCAATGTTGCAATAAAAATGCATTTTACTCGAACAGACGTCGCCAGGCTGTTGAGACCCTTCTACAATTTCTCGCACTAAATTGAATGATGTGATCTTATGAATGTGAATAGTACGTGAAATTTTTATCAAAAAAATCAAATTAGTCTCAAATTGTACCTAACTTGATATTAAAAAAATCATGTATTATTATTCATCATACATCTTTCTTTTGATAACGCAAACTATGTACAGGACAAATAAAAGTACTCTCAGATTATATATTACGAGTAGACTATAAAAACTTTTGTGTTTAGAAACTTTTTTGTACCCACTGTGTTTTTATGTGCGTCCTTACTCAAGCGATACGCTCTGAAAGATGCCATATTATGCAAATCGGTTGAAGACACATTTATAGACATTCTGTAATATGAAACATGTGACATATATACATCAACAAATACATTGCCATAATCTTTAACACTTTCGTTGTACGAATTTATAAAAAAATGGCCTTAAAACGAGTCAGTACTCATATTTCGGATACGAAAGAAAATCTATCGTATCTTGGCCGTACTGAATAGTGATATAAGGGCGAATGTTACATAGATATCGATATATTGGCAGGATTGACCGCCGCGACGTTGCGGATGAAGATCGCGTCGATCCAGACTTGTTAAACCGCGCTGTGCGGCTGCTCGTGTTGCAGAAATTAGACAACATATACTCCTACCACACCCGACCAAGGTACGATAATCGATGTTATCCTCCCATCATCGATAATTCTGCACACGTTCGTATTTAATGTGATTCCTGCATGCATTATCCTCCTTAATTGTTAGTTTGTAACAGAAAAAAATGACTCAGAAAACACGTATTATTTATCGGCTAATACGGCTTAATATCGATATCTAATTTCTGTGAAACGTACTTATTAATAAGGGGAACATTAATAACAAGATACAGTATTATGAGCCAAATCCAGTTTTTGTTATTGCCGTCGCTTATTTCGTAATAGTAATGAACTTTATAGATAAATGAAATAATTATTTGTTACGGACTTAAATAGCAATTCTAAAATAAAAAAAGGAACTTGCTATATTTTAAACATAATAAATATAGATAATAATTTTGAAACTATTTAAACGCAGAATGAAATTTAAATATTATATTGTATGTAATCTATTAATTATTTAATGTTACGTACCTAAATATCATTATATCACCTCACGCGCATAACTATGAAAACAAGCAGTAATTGGATTCGAAATAATGAGATTTATTGAAATATTACAGTATACCCTAACCACTTATTCATTATTTCAAATAAGAAGCAATGGTTGTTGGTAAAATAAGGCAAAGTTTTTTAAAAGAAATTGAAAAATCTGTATTAGAACAAAACTCTATAATACCAAGTCTTAACAAACGGGTTCTTGACTGTGAATTTCATTTATTAGTATTACAAATTAATAAAACAAAATTTTTGAAGGTTATGTAAAAATTAATTTAAACATAGGTTTCCTCATCTCATTTTTAAAAGTTGTTGGAGTTCCAAAGTTTCTTTTGTGACGTAAATACTTACACTTGGGATAAATTGTCACTCAATTCCTCAGTAATCTTGAAGAAAATCTGTTAGAAGCCTCGCAAAGGCTGTTCTTTGTTATATACTACTGTAATTGCGAATATACAGTGTTGGCAGATGACATCCTCATAACACGAGTACACGTCGCCGCGTGGCGTTGCAATAGAAATAAAGAATGCCCTACGAGCTAATAAATAGTAAATGTTATTTGAATATAAAACAATGATTTCATCCTTATAAAGTAATTTGTACTTAATTCTCTAAATGCAAAAGTTGCTATTCATTTGACTGTCTTAAATGGGTAAACTTTCTTATAGGTTAGGTAATATTTGGAATTTGAATCTAGCCTATTCAATTACCTACCTACCAGCCTACTACCTACTTATTACATATAATACCTATTCTGTGACATAGACAAGTGATACACTCTTTTTAAAAATCAAACCTAATCAGTATTATGATCATCTTACAATAAACCTAATCCTTAAACAATCGATGCTAAATTTAGCTTTATAATACTGAAAATTAGCAATAAGTGAGACAAAAAAACATATCAAAAATACATAATAAAACCGTTCTACTTTCATTTGTAATACCCACAACATATTTAGAAACAGAACCAAAGTTAAAATAGATACGTATCTATTTTGAACTCTGGTTCTGTTTCTAGCAAAATATTTCTTTGTAGGTTCAAAGAAATATTTTGCAGAACATAAATTTGCCCTTGTTCAACTGTCAGAATACTGAGAAATTTTAGGTAAATAGCAGTAACGGAATGTTATAAACCAAAATAAAAGGCACACTCATAAAGCGAAGCCACCTGTCCGAGTAACATGACATTTGGTGTAATATTCACACTGTGTAAAAAGACAGGAGAAATCTTTTCCGTGTTTTGTTTGACGCTAGTGCCGCTCGAAGTTTAACCGCATGTACGCAACTGTATAAAGGGAAAAAGGTCGGACTACATGTGGAGAAACCCTATATTACTTTATTAGAGAGTTTTTAGAACTCTCGTTGAATTACTTATACTTTTGGAAAACTGTAGGGCGTTTTCATAAGACCACAGTTTAAACCATCCGATATCATAATACTGTTAAAAAATATCGTATTGCATAAATATAGTCATCACTATTGCTGCTAAGTTCTCAATTTTAAATTTCGGCGGTAGTCACGGCGATCACGGTTCAAGTAACAGTGCAACAACTATGAAAAAACCGAAACATGGCAACCTTAGGTCTGATTTGAAGTGATTTTGGGTAAACACCTGGATCATCCATCTTCAGCCAACTAAAGTTTATTTTTTAAGTATTTTCAGGAGATAATATAATAATTACTACGGATTATTTTAAATCGGAGCGAGTTTTTTTAGCAACGATATTTAAACGGTATTAGCTAATAAATAGCTGGTGCCCCCGACTTCGTTTGCGTGGAATTGAAAAGCGTTGGATTAGTGAGTTCGATTCCCGTACCAGGCAAAATTTTATAGGGTTTTTCTGAGAGAAAAGCCTAAGTTACTCCTAATATAGACAGCTCCTTGATAGTAAAATATTATCAAAAACCGGTCCAGCCGTTTTGAAGATTAAGGAACAAACAGACAGACAGAAAGACAGGACAGACAAAACATATTTAAAACTGGTTTTTAGGCATCCATAGGTAACCGGTAACGTGCAAATAACCGTGTAAGCATGAAAAAACCTATTATTTTGACATTACAAACAGACACTTCAATTTTATTTATTTGTATAGATATATTTTACCACATTCAAACAATTAAATACAGCTTGTACTATTGGCATTAGAAAACTGGTATACATATACACATTTGACAGATTTTCGAATAATTTGACATATAATGTGACAAGGTCAATTGCTTTGTTTCATAAAGATCAAAATAGTTTTCGTAAAATGTTTAAACTAAAAAACTAACTATTTTAATGAGCGAAAAATGTATAAGAATGTTTAAAAGACACAATTTAATCACAGATATTTTTATTTTAATAGTCCATTGACCTCACGTCTCGACCTAAAGAAAAGATATATTCGTAGATTATATTAGACGATAAAAAACATCTGTCTCCTTGGAAAATAATACTGATATTCTTTGTTCTTGTATTAAACAAAAAGCTTTGACTCGCAAAGGAAATAAACAGAGATTTAGAGCCGGTACAGAACTAATAAATGTAGACCATCGTATTTTTACACAGTACAAAGGTCACCTGTATCTTTGTTGCTACTTAAATCAAATTTATTAAAATACTCGTAGAACCATTTAACATGATGAAGAAACAAAATATTTTTCTAATATACTAAAAAACCAACGGTTTTATTTATTTTATATAATTGAAATTTATAATACCTAATACCAGCAACTTTTCGCCATCGTTCCACACGGCAAAATTTTCATCGTCATCACCTGTGCGCTTTTCGAGACACTTTTTTGCATCGCATAACCAATTTGTGGAACGGGTTATTGTCTGCGGTATTTCCGGACCGATACGACCTTCAAACCTTCAAGAAAGAGCGTACTCCTTCCTAAAAGGCCGACAATGCGTTTGGTAACTCCTGAGTTGCAGACGTTCATGGGCGGCCGATGGTCACTTTCTATCAGGTGACACCATCTGCTCTCCAAAAGAGAGAGTTGATCGGCACTGAATTTTGAAAGAGATTTTATTACGAGAATTGGCCTTCAGGACAAAACCTGTTTCCGGAACGAGCACCTAGCCTTTGTTATTAAATGGCGAACACGAATTGGACGGAACTCTCCTGAATCATAAGCACATATATGTGAAATCTTATGAATATAGAAATAAAATAACACCAGAGCGAATGAGAACTTTGCAAACCCCTGGAGCTTTAAAGAATGACATGAACTAATAAAAAGCATAACATTTCTCGTGTTATTTTTATTATCTCTACATTTGTGTCCAATGTGAGATTGCATGCATATTAACACGATAATATTACTACATTAGGTGCATTAATTTATTTAACTTTTATGAAATGTGACATTTCTATTATGAATCTTTAAGAAGTTATGAATAACGTGCTTGATTATAAATACTCATTATATTTATATCTTCAAGAGTAATTGTTATTATGATATTATAATAATAAAAAGTAATACCTATCATACACGGTTAAACTCATCTACTGTCACTGCCTTGGTTTTGAAGGGACCAAATTGTACTAAAATTTTAATAGAAGAAGCTTTATAAGGCGATTTGCAAATTACTAGAACAAAAATGCTGGACTCTAATTCTTTGCATACACTGCATATTTTTATTTTGTCGGATAACTTGAGAATGTATGTACCGAACCTTACGTAACCAATATTAAGGCTTCTAGTATACTGTAATCTCACTGAAATAGTATACATAATTATAATAGTCATATTAATGATGTCTAAACAAGAGCAATTACCGAGTTTTTTTATGGAACTAGTCCACGGGATCGAATGTGGTGACACTCCAATATTTTTTAATCCATCACCACCACAGTCCTTATTTCAATAAAAACTCTTTACAAAACTCTATTTCGGCCGTCAGCGTTCCTTTGCACCAAATTATTGGTATGATTATGAAAATACATTGACTTTATTTTATTGCTCTGAGTTTTTAAAAGATTTGCTATTTTATAGCACATATTTATTGACGGTCTATTAATCTGTTAGTTGGTGATTCAAAGTGCTAATCCAGAGGTCGTATGTTCGATTCCCACTCAGGACAAATAATTGTGTGTCAGCACGGTCATTTATTCTGTGTCTGGGTGTTATTTATCTGTAATACGTAGGTATTTAGAAATACGTACGAGTATTATATAAGTATGTTTATCAGCAGTCCGGTCACCATATCCCGGGACTGCCTAGTTTGGGATTAGACGGTCTGTGTGTGTATCGTCATCTGCAGATATCTGTGGGAGAAAAGCATCTCTTACTGTGCCTGTTACTTTATGGTAGATCATGACCGTATCTTTCTACGTCGACGTCTAAGAAATTGTAGATTTATTTTGTTAAAAATTTAAATTAACTGTGACCTGAAGTCTATTCATACTGTTATTCAAAATCTAAAGGTACTATTTACCTATCTTTATAAAGAGTTTACGCCCAGATCTCAATGCTGTTACTATAAATGGCCTGTCCACCTCTTTGGGCATAACACGTGAGTAAATAAAACAGTGCGTTTGTGACTCCTGAGCTACAGCTACGTCAAGCCAGTGTCATACCACTGACACGCTATTGAGACGCCATCGAGTAGCCATTGGCATCCGGTATAAATATCGGTAGTTGAATATATTACGTTTTTTTGAGGAAATGATTTATTTGTTTTTATTAAAATAAATGATTAAAAGAAATAAATAAATTAAAATAACTTATTAAAAAAAATAAAAAAAAATAAAAAATAAATAAATAAATTTTATAAAAATAAAATTATTAAAAAAAGATAATCAATTTAGTAAAATAAAAAATAAAAAAATATTTAAATAAATAAGTCATTTCCTTATAATTTGAAAATATATTACGTTTTTTGAGGAAATGATTTTTTGTTCTTTTTTTTATTTTAATAATTTATTTAGTTCTTTTTTTAATTTATTTATTCTTTTTTTTTTATATTTTTTTTTCAATAATTTATTTTAATTTCTTTATTTCTTTTAATAATTTATTATAATAAAAACAAATAAATCATTTCCTCAAAAAACGTAATAAATTTTTACCGATGCCAACGCAATAAATTTATACCGATGCCAATGGCTACTCGATGGCATCTCAATAGCGTGTCAGTGGTATGACACTGGCTTGGCGTGAACATAGAATAGCAGAATTGAGGCCCTGCTCGTCTGCCCCCTCTGACATAAAAAAAAAACAGTGCAGGTTGAAATATAACATGCTACTTAATACGGAACATCATTTATTTGATTGCTTGTGGTCACGCGTGGTTATAAAAACATTTGCGACATATTCTTTACTCAATTCAACAAAATTAGACCCATAAAGACTTAAAGACTATATGAAGATTAAACTCCTTTCATATGCATAAGTATTGTCAGGAAATCTACAAACGCTGCTTTTGGGTAAAATATGAAACATTTTTACTAGTACGCGTTTATATTACGCCATAAACCTTCTCAGGTAAAGTTGTATAACCCATATAATTCAAACATTTGTCAAGCTTCCTTTGACTAAAATACTTTTTGGGACTGAATAAATTCGCATCAATTTTGTATTATATATTGTCTTGACGACGTGAATTTACCCGCCGTTCAGTGTGAATGACCTAGAGACCGCATAAAGTAGTAAAACATTCACGATAACGCCACGATATATTTTTATTAAGATGATTTTTCCATGTCTTTGTACATATTTATTAAAAAATGTAGACAACAAAAATGAGTTTATTTCGTCTATGAAACATCTGCAATACGGCAGTGAAAATCTCGTGGCAATCGGTTCAGGCCTTCCCAAGATTAGCTAAACAAACAGACCGTAAATCAAAATATAAAGTTTAGTATAAACTTTCAAATACATTAAAAATAAACAATTAATATGACATCAAAAACAGACAACAAAAAATATTTTATTTGTTGCTGAATGAACATCCTAGTAATATAGAAGAAAGTTAAGTTTTCTATTTTCATTTTTGATTACTCTGTTTAGTACAGTGCAGTACAGTACATACCTGTGATACTGAAAAAGCCTAAATTATTAAATTATGAAAACAATAGAAAAAATATTGAAGGTAAATCGAGGTTTTCGTTTGACAATTTAAGATTTAAATAGCCGGCTAAGAAAATTATGTTCGACGAGGCGTAAAATCGACATTTTGGTTTAGTAAAATTAACAAAATTGATAAATGCTTTACCTTACGCCTGTTTCTCCAATTATTATGGGATTTGGGATTATTATCTAGAATTAAGAACTGAAATCCAACAGGATTTTCTTGCGCCGTATCCGAAGGGATTTTCATTAAATTATTTTAGATTATCCCGTCAACAATTATTAAGTTTTGATTTCAAAATCATATCTGAAGTTTCGTCATCGAAAATATATTTGTATTAATAATTATACTGCAAACTAGAATAATAAATAATATGTTTATTACTTGGGTGACAAATAGGAATACGAATCTACGTACGCTCTTTGTTACTAATGCCTCTTATAAAAGACTAGCTGTTCTGACTTGTTGGAAGTACAAAATAATTTTTCCGATTGCCCCTGTTTCTTTTTCCAAAATTAAAGTAGTCTAATTTAAAAAAAATATATATATATGAGTAACATGATATCCCCTGATATACCCTGTAAACATTCATGATATCACCATCAGATTTTATACAAAATAAAGATTAAAAAAAAATACTTGTATAAAATTGTTACTTTTTCAAACGACTAGTAATAAACCAGACTCTAAACTGCGCAACATGCCGGCTGGTTTTTATACTTTAGAATACATACATTTATTTTCAACACCTTAAGTGAAGTTTCATAATCGCTTTTTTAAATATCTCAAGCAAAAACTTGTGCTTTTTAATTGTCAGTTTCTAACGTGATTGGGTAAATACGTTTATGACGTTAAATCATTGAGAATGAAATAGTACTTCCAGAAACGTCAACTTTCGTCAACGTCAACGTCAAATAAGATAGAGAGAAACGGGCGACGAAACAGAGACTAAATATTTTTTATATACGTTGCCGGATATTTTTTTTTTTTGGATTACCTATAACATTGATTCTGGGTATAAATTATTGAAACTACTACCACCCACACTAATCCCTACCCATTAATAAATTAATTTTCTTTCTTTACAGGTTTGGTAAGCGTTCTGATGCTTACACGAACTGGGCCAAGGACCTTGAGGTAAGACTTAACTGAAGATAAATTTATTGACTTACCCATTTTTTATTTTGATCCGAGTATATTTTTTTAAATTTTTTACACTCCTTTCTTATACGTCAAATAACCAATATGATTTATATTACATAAAACTTAGTTTTTTACCAAAACTTAATTGAAATCGTTGGATGCGTGGAGCACAGTGTTGGCTGTTGTGGCGAACCTTGGGGAAAGCCCAGTGTCTACCAGTGGAGGTCATTCGGTTGAGGTCATGACGATGATGAAATAACACAGTTTTTAGGTTCTTAGTAAAATCGCTCAAAAAACAATTTTATGTACATTAAATTTGAATAGTTACCTGGTCGGAATTCGTCCGTATTCACTTTAAAACTGATCGATAATCGACTTGGCGGTCGATTATTTATATCGAAAGGCTTGTTTTATTTCATTGAGTTACATTTGAACTGTGTTTTTTAGACGTTTATATCATGAAAGGTCAGAATAATATTTTGGACCCTTACAAGACTGTAGCCGTTTTTTTGCATAACTTTTAACTTTATAGAACATACTGCCAAAAATTTCACATATTGTTATTGGATTTCATGCGCCATTTTGGTTTTAAGTCGAGCGCTAAGAATTTTCTTAACGTATTCATCAGCAGCTTTTACTAGTCTATTGCTGGACATAGGCCTCTCCTTAGAAAGGAGGGTTTGGCCTACTACCCCACGCTGGCCAGACGGATTGGTATAGGGTTTGTTTCAAGGTTTCCTTCTCTTTGCAGTGCTGTTATCCTGCGTAGTTTACTCCCTTAGTCGGCTCTTACGACACCCACGGGATGAATAGGGGTGGTGAAATTCTGTATTCTTAATTCATCACCACACGGATAATTTAGTCTTAACGTATTAATATTTAGATATTTTAAATAAGGAACGAGTAAAGATAAAGACATCATTTTACAAATCAAAAATTATTTTTTAATTAATAACTATATGAAATTGTGAATACGTCTTCAAAATTCGGGGATAGCTTTTTACTACGACAATACGAAAATTTTCGAATATTAATTTCTGTGTAAAATATTTTGATTGCCTTCGTAAAATCTTTCAAACCCTTGTTGAAATTATATTACAGTTGAACAGAAATAAATTATGAAACAAATGTTGCCTTTCAAGTAATAAATCGGAATCGTTTTGTAAAGAATTTGAGAAGAAATTTATAACAACTTAGAGAAACTTCCATTTCTTTTTAAATGATTAACAGTAACCTACGTGATTACTGGTCAGATTCAACAAAATAAAATAGGGTACGCTACAGACGAATGTAGTTAAAAATGGCACTAGTGTTATATTTCTCTTGATGTATAAAAGATACATACATACATAAAATCGCCCAAGTATCTCCGAATTGGTAACGCCTCTATTTAGCTGACTATAATTTTATTCTTATTTACTATTTATAGGAAAAGCCTATTTAAAGCCACTGTAGGAGGCGTAAGGTGAGAAAATTTTCGCAAAAATTTAGATAAAAATTTATCAACTTTTAAATACTTTTCTGTTATACAATAGTTCTTGTAGTAACGAAATTGCGAAGTCACACATTTTGACTAAGGTGACTTTGTGAAGTAAGAGCTTGTAGAGTTAGAAGGTTGACTGTACATTAGATCTGAATTTTTTTTTGTCAGTCTCGTCTTGGTAACATTTTACATGAAAGGTTTTTGGTGGGATAAGTATTACTAGTACCATTTTTAGCTGAAATATTCGTACAATCATTTATTCAACGACCAGTCCAAGGTTATTTTGCATCTTTTATTTCTCCCTGGTGATTTCAGTATAACATGTATTAATGGTTAATATTTAATGAAATTTGACGACCTTTATCGAAATTGTAAATTCTAAATTTCCTTTATTAATATCGATGCTGCTTGTTGAAGCCTGAGTGTGACAAAACTCAAAACTCTCTTAACGGAATATCCTTAACAGAAATATTTAAATTTTATTTGTTCAATTTATCAAATAGGCCTCGTTAAATGAATTATGACATTAATTTGATAAATATTGCTTTACTTAGAATCCAACGATCGACACGGTTCTGTAAACGTTAATAAGAACACTTGTTTATCGCTAAATTTATTAATTAAGCCTTACTAGTGAAATGCCAAATGGTTCTTTTGATCTTTACCTCTGGCCTTGCTTTTTTAAGTGAATGAAGGGACCTAAATAAACACGACTGTATGTTCAGTCAAGATTATAAATATTTCGTGACGTAAATTCGATTTGGTTCTTATACAGTTAGTAGTGAGGAAAAAATATATTTCATTATATTAAGCTTCTTTTTATATTGATTGCTTGATGTATGTGGTATATTTTTAGCCAGAGTTTTTGGGTTCGATTCCCATCCCAAGGTGGTGGGTGATGAGCGTGATCGTTTGTATTTTTTTTATGGTATAAGGGGCAAACGAGCAGACGGGTCACCTGACGGTAAGCAGCTACCGCCACCCATGGACACCTGCAACTTAAGTCACAAGTGCGTTGCCGCCCTTGGACTCCCTTCCGCTCGAGTCAGCGGGGAGATTTGGGCTCCAGTAACCTCACTCACTCAGTGAAAGGCAACGAAAGAATTGCTTAACACCGGTTTTCTGTGAGGACGTGGTATCACTCCGGATCATTCCACGGTATCACTCCACTTGTACAGAACAAATTTGGGTTTATCTGATCTATAATAGCTGTGTATGTATTTAGAAGGACATAAGTATATTTATCAGTAGTCAGGTTGTCATAGTACAGACTCTGCCTTAGTTTGGGATTGGGCGCCTGTGTAACACTCAAGTTATTACCATTATTAAATGATTTAGAAATTACGTTTTTTTAGGAAATTTTCTGAAATTATATCCGTTGCTTTATGTCTCATCTGGTATTATCCGTACGTTTTCATTAACATGATTAATACTGTAATTATTTTTAATCTTTTTTAACTTTTACAAGAACTAAAGTATTCCAATCTCTCATATCTCCGTTGTCTTTAATATTTCCTTATTAAGAATACATTTTTATTTGAAGTTTTAAAACATTTTATTTTTCTTTAATTTTTTTAATTCAATTTCTATATAATTAATTCAAACGCATACTTCTAATCTACTAAATGGTTATAAAATAGTGATGTAACACTATTTCATATTCCCTTATTAGATTCCATTGTTATTGAAATCTTTCAAAGGAGTTTATTCAAGTTTTATATTGTCGGTTATTCGAAGAAATGCCACAATATGAGGAATAAACGTCAATATTGCGTCTTTGCATCCCAATGCAGCCTCCATATGGGGGAATTTATTCACATAGTTATTGTTCCTCCTGTCGGCACCTCAGCGTTTTCGGATTGAAATGGTTTTATCTCGAAATTGTCTGCCTGTTCTTGAATTTTATAGTAAATGCAGTGAACTTTAAGTATATATGGTACAATCGATAACATAACTCTCATAATATCGATTTTGTCGATATTATAAGAGTTATGTTAACTTAACACTATTTACAGATGATTAATTTTTACTATTTATAGATTGTTTGGTGATTAATGAATGATATACAGCATGGTCTTACAATAAAAATGATCAGATGAGCAACCATATTGTTTATGTTAATGCTAATGTAAATATCAACTTGTTTAATTTAAATTCTAAAATTTTACTTCATGTAGACGAAAGACGTATTAAATTTAAATCGCTTTCAAAACATCAGAGTAACGATGAAGCAAACACTAGTCTAAGATACTCTTTTTGAAGTGAAGTGGCTGGAAGTATACAAGAATCCTGGCAAACCTTGACCGTTTCTTAAGAAATAGTCGGCCACGAAACACGCTGCTTTACTATCTCAGCCTGGCTTCTGCTTCGACCTTTACAACTAGGCTAAGACCATGAAGGTCACAAAATTATGTTTTACGATCAGTACCTCTGTACCTGGTGTCTGGTGAGAGACAGAAGAGTACTAGCTGTCTCCCGGAACCTTTCTGTACCGGAACCTTTTTGTAAAAAAAAAAACTACAGTCGAATTGATAACCTCCTCCTTTTTTTGTAGTCGGTTAAAAAAGTGTTCTTCTACCAATTTTTTATTTCTGATTACAATACTGACTTTTTCTGTAAAAAAAGTTTCAACAAATTCACTATGAAACCATCAAGAGCTTTCGAAATTAACAGCCGAGTACGTGGTTTGAACAATTTATACGAATTAAAATTCATCGTTTAAAAGCAGAGAATTATTAACTCAATAAAACTAAATTACTCTAACAGTATTAGACTACTTAATACCTTAACGAAGATGGTACTGCACAAAATTAATTAGTTCAGTTCGACAACTGTAGCAATTCAAGATATTAAATTAAATGAACTTTCTTTACAGAAGCCGGACATACCTGCCTGGTTGTCATACGCAAGAAGGAGATGAGGTGTGCAACAGTCACGGGATCCACATTAATTAACAAATCATTAAATCAATGTTCGTGATTACTGTTACAGTTGAAAAAGTTATTGTACAACATTTCAAATTTGCATTTATCTTTTAATATGTATACGTCTAGTCATAATATCCGAAAACATTTCAAATATATTTTACTTCCGATTTTTTTTAATGAAACTCAGTTTATTATGATTATAATCACGATTATACTTTAAAAATTTTGAAATATAGAATTATTGATTTTATTTATTGATTATTTATCATATATTATTTGAGGTATTTATTAGTTAATTTTTTAAGTATTAATAGATAGAGTTTTATCTTATTACATTTAAAGTATTTTAAAAAAACGTATTCATTGCATATTCAAATATTTAAACGTAAAAATCACTGTGTAATAGGAATTCGAAACAAATTAGTTGTACCTTTGGCGGATCGAATATCATTGTAATGTTATGAATAAAAGCAATTGATAAAAAGTAATATTTAATTGTTTGTTTTATTATTAACGACTTCCTTGAGTCGACAAGGGTGTACTTGTAAGGTGGAAATTAATGTCGAAACAGAGAAACTATTTTTTTTTAGATATAATTTTGATTTGTAAATCATTTGATTTCATAACGTTCTTAATATAATGTTTATTTAGAATGATAGCTTTCATAAACCAGAGGTTATATGATTCAAACTCTAATTCAAAATGACTAAACGGATGGCGTAATGGTTAAAAGCGGTCACCTCGCCGCTTTCAACTGTGTGTGATCCACAAATTATTGTTCCGGTTCTGGGTGTTCTTTGTGTCCGTTTCATGTATGTTTGTAAAGTTCCCCGTGACACAAGATATATACCTAGTGCGGGAGTCATCTTTTTTTTTAAATAAATAATAATAATAAAGCATTTCAGAGATTCAGTTTTCGGTGGTTTAATAATATATTTTTGGAGTCAACAATTAAATAACAATTTACATTTAGTCGAGATATAATAAAGTATGATAATTGTTATGCAATTAAATAGCACCATGTTAGAGGCAGATGGCCTTCACACACTGAGTTATCGTCGTTGCACAGGTAGATTTTTGAGACACCATGACCTAAATGACATAGTTTGAAGAGCTCTTATATCCGCTAATGTACCCTTTTTTTTTTTTTTTTTTTTTTTTTTTTTTTTTTTTTTTTTTCCGTGCGGAAATCCCCTCGGATACCACCTGTCGGTGGCATGTCGGACTCGAACCGACTAAAACCGCACGCCTTCGCCGGGTACTAATAGCCGGGGAACCAGGTATACCCTAGAAAGGAAGGCCCTGGTGCCCCGACATACCTCGGGTCATCTACAGACGAGTAGACGACCCCCGCCCCGTGTGGGAACCCCATGTTCCCTGTGCTCCCTGAAAGCGAGCGCGCTTCGCAACGCGCTCGCCGCCACCCCGGCCTGCTTCTGCTAGGGTGACAGATGGCCTCACCTGTCACCCCCAGGCCTGCGCTTATGGAGGACGGAGGTCGTTCTGCGACCTCCGGCGTCTGAGTCGCCTGCGCTGCCTGGCCCGTGCCCGGGCCTGGCGGGCCGGGAGAGTTCTAAACCTCTCCCGGTCCCGCTCCGCCGTCTCCTTCGCGAGCATAACTTGCTCGCAGAAGGAGACGGCAGAGTTCCACGCACTCTCGCTCCGCACGATAGCCGCAATCAGGCTATCGAGCGAGAGAATTCCCACTCCGATGGCCGCCACGAGGTCTCGCCTCTGCTCAACCCACGCCGGGCACTCTGCCAGCGTGTGGAGAGCCGTGTCCACGGTCTGGCCATCGCAGTGGTGGCACTCAGGCGTTGGCTCCTTGCGGATCAGACACAGGTGATCTCCGAAACATCCCTTCCCAGTGATCACCTGCGTCAATCGGTATGAGAGGGTCCCGTGACGCCTCTCGAGCCAATCCTCCATAACGGGTCTTACCGCCGCAATGACGGCGTGCCCGGCGCTCGGTTGCCCGAGTCGTTCCCTCCACTCCCCTATGATGACCTGGCGGAGTTGGGATTTCCGGTCATCGATTTCTCGAATCTCGGGGCATCGACCCAACTCCTGCGCCTCCTTGCGCCACTGATACAGTGCTGCAAGGGCTCTCGCCTCCAGGTCCCACGGTGGAGTTCCGGCCAGGAGACTCGCCGCCTCAAAGGAGATCGTGCGGTACCCCCTTATGATCCTGATGGCCAGCATTCGCTGCGGTCGCCGCAGTATCGCGACGTTGCTGGCCTTCAGGGCCCCCGCCCATACTGGGCACCCGTAAAGGGCCATGGACCGCACAACCCCCGAGTAGAGTCTCCGGCAGGAGTCATCGGGTCCCTTCATGTTGGGCAGCAGCCGCGCCAACGCACGCGCTGCCCCAACCAACTTGGGGACCAGACCTCGGAAATGATATCCGAAGTCCCATCGGCCATCGAGTACGAGCCCCAGATACCTGATCGAGGGCTCGATGCCGATGCGAGTGCCTCCTACCGTGAGGCTAGATCCCTCAGGCGGCTTCCTCCGAAGCCCGTGGAAGAACAGGGCCTCGGACTTGTGCAGAGCCACCTCGAGACCCAGCCGCCGGATAAGCTCAACGACTTGGGCAACCCCGGCCGTGGCCCTCAGGGTTGCCTCGTGGTGCGTCTTGCCGCGCGCCGTCACGAGTGTGTCGTCCGCGTAGCACACGACGGCGACACCATCCAAGAAGGCACCACGAAGCACCCAGTCGTAGCCGATGTTCCACAAGAGTGGCCCTAACACCGACCCCTGCGGAACACCGCACGACATTTCACGCCTACCGAGACCGGTCCTACTGGGGTAGACGACGGCTCTCTCCGACAAATATGCCCCGACTATGCGGCGGAGATAGAGAGGCACTTCGTGATACACGAGCGCCTCCCTGATGCAGCTCCAGGGCATAGTGTTGAACGCGTTGGCGATGTCCAAGGACACCGCCAACACCACTTCACCCCGGGAGACTGCTTCCTCCGCCAGAGCCTTCACGCGCATGATCGCATCCACGGTGGAGCGCCCCTGACGGAAACCGTACTGGTTGTCCGCCAGATCCGGCCCAACCATCACGAGATGCTTGACGAGGCGCCTTGCAATCACTCTTTCAAAGAGCTTGCACACCTCGTCAACCAACACTATGGGCCGGTAGGCGGACGGTGAGTCCGCCGGGCGCCCCTCCTTTCGGATGAGGACCAGTTTCCCCGTCCTCCACAATTTCGGAAACTGGCCCCGCTCGAGGCATGCGCTGAAGAACCCTCGCAGTCGGGGCTCGAGAGCCTCGTCGACTAAGGCCAGGACCCACGCTCGGCCAGGAATGCCATCGGGTCCCGGGGCGGTGTTTTTGGCTTTAAGCCGTAACACCGCCACCCTTAGTTCCACCCCAGTGACCTCAGGCACGTCGTCGTCATCCACGTTAGGCGCCTCAAGCGCCGGAGGCGGAGCCATCTGTGGCGGAGTATGCTCCACCACTCGCGTTGGGAACAGGGAGCCAACGACCCTCTCAAGCAGCTCTGGCTGAAGACACCGTGTGAGCGGCGGGGCCCATGGGCGCATCTTGCCCCTAACCATACGGTAGGGGCGTCCCCACGGATCCCGCTCCAGTGTCTCCAGCATCTCGCGGCGGGCCTCGCTCTTGCCCGCTTTATCGCTGCCTGAAGGGTCCCTCTTGGCAACCCTGTAACCCGCTGACAGCTCCGCCTCTCTCGCTGCCGCATCTTCGGGGCGGCGACGCCTCCTGCGGAACCTGGACCACTGGCGGCGCGCGGTCACGCAGGCTTGACGCAGCCGTGCGATCTCCGGCGACCACCAGTAGACCTGGCGCCTTGCAGTATTGGGCTGAGCCCTAGGCATCGCCGCATCGCAGACGCGGGTCATGGCCTCCCGGAACCACTGTGCTTCAGCATCGACGTCGACAGGCCTGTCCGGCGCAGGAGCCCAGGCCTGTACGATGGCGGCTTCCAGGAGGAGGTCGCGATCTAAGCGCTTGAGCGCCCAACGTGGTTCAGGTGGTGCCGGTCTGACCGGCGCGCCATCTGCAGGGGCGGAGACGTCAAACCGAATATATCGGTGATCCGAACCTGTCTCCTCCCCGACAACGACGCGCCAGCCTTGGACACGACGCGCTAGCGAGGGGCATGCGAACGAGATGTCCACGATCGAACTACCCCTCGCCGTCACGAACGTGGCCACGGCCCCCCCGGTTTAGGAGAACTAGGCCGAATCTTTCAGCCCAGTTCTCCAATGCCCTACCCCTTGGGTTCGTGCGCAGGGAACCCCAAGCCTGCGACCAGGCGTTGAAGTCCCCCAGCACAAGAACCGGGTGGGGGCGACAGGCATCGACGACGACGGCCAGCTGAGCGAGCCATTGCTCGTACTCAGTTAGGTTTCGGTTCGGCGTGAAATAAGCGGCCACGACCGCTATATCTCCAACTATCGCCGCTACACAGCCCCGTCCCCTTGCAACTACTGCAAGAGGTGGAGTGCCGGCTGCGGTACCGTGCACCAGGGCCGCCGTGCCGTCCAAGTCGGTCTCCCAGGCAGGCCCGAGAAACCGATGGACATATGGCTCGGCGATAGCGGCGATGTTGATGGACCACTGTGCCATGCTCTGGAGCAGAAGATCCTGAGCATCGGCACCGTGGCCTACGTTCACCTGGAGGATGCGGAGATGTGGATCCATCACTGGACTTCCATCCCCGCATCCCGCAGCGAGCTTTGCGGCTGTCCAGCGGCACTCTCCGTCTGGATCAGCGGCTCGGAGGCGGAAGGTCGGCCTCCCGGCTTCGGTCGCGATAGGGCACAGGCCTTACCACCAACCCGGTGGTCGGCAGGCTTGCCCCCCGCTGCGCACCTAAAGCAACGCAGCGGAGCGTTGCAGCCACCCGCCTTGTGACCGGGCTGGCCACAGCGGAAGCATCGGTCACCTACGGTGGCCTCCGCCGTGCAGTGCACCCCTACGTGACCCACCGACAGGCACCTGAAGCACCTTGCC